TAAATGATGTACCTGATACGATAGCTAGTTTTGAATTTTGAAGTATCTACCTATTTTTAATTTATTAAATCTCCTTTCTAAGGAGAGGCCTATGTCCAGCAGTGGACTACTAAAGGCTCTTGATAAGGATGATCATTCATTTGTCGTAAGAGAGCCATGTTTTGGCTCATTTGATCCAGCTCGACCAGAGCTTTACCACGGCTCACTAAAACTCTCTCTCCCTCTCACTCTCAATTTAAGAGCTAAACCCTTGTCGGTTTAGCAATCGCTACTCATCTTAATTTCCTGAGATCTGTTTGACCTCTTGATAGGCCACGACTTCCACTTTCTCCTTCACTTGCTGTATGTATGTGGATCTAGGTCGTCAACCAGTGTTAAGAAATTATTTCATTTATGGGGTTGTTGGGGTTAACAAAGAACCTACGCCCCTTTTCTAAATTCTGGGGAGGTGGACACTTAAAGGGGGATGTATTACACCTGTATCTCTTGAGTTGTAGCATGAGCGGCGGCAGTCACTAACCACCTGTGTACCCTTACCCCCTCGGTTACCCCTTTTACCATCTATGTATCACACTTTAGACTAGAAAATGGCTAAAACCTGTACAAAAACAAATTTCAAAAATTATCTACTAATTGTATATATAAGGTGGATATCTCTTTCCTATACGGTTACAATAAACACTATATACAACTCACGTATTTTTTTAACGTTCTCTCGTCTCTCACGACCGACGTGATGTGGGACCGTCCTCCATACTAGGGTTGCCATGTATTTCAGAACTTTTGTGTATCAGAAATTTACAAAATAAACTTCAAGTAGGTACCCGTATATAGATATAAAGAGATAATATTCTCAGGGTTTAACTTTACAAAATATACAAGTTCGTAACTCCACAAATTAAACCGAGCACTCAGAGTACCTCCAACACTAACCAAATTCACGTACTCGAAAGTTCTATATTACAAGGGTTTCCGCCATCGAGTAACTGTCAAACTGATCGTATCTATATGACAAACAGCAAACCATAATATACCCATCCCTTAGGAATGAACCTCACCACAGTATCCAATTTCTTACTTAATTTATTTGTTTCTGTCAAAATATTCTCGATATTTCTTGTTACATAATGTTTTTATATTTTCTTGTATTCTCACAAGATTTTGTGAGGTAAATTTAAATGAGTTAGAATTTGTAAAGTTGTTTTGAAGAGAAATAAAATCACCTGCCAAGTTAAACAATTTTACTTGACTTGAAGTAAATTAAGAAAACACAATAGTAATATAACTATTCTGACGGCCCGTTTGCTCAAGTGGCCAACAGTTCTGACCGATAAGCCAGAAATTGTGGGTTCTATTCTCACCTAGAAAAAACAAGTGATAAGCAAGTTTACTTGTTCTTTGTCTGGATGTTGTTTATGCAGAACTTAAAAGTTATTTTATTACTTTTACGTAATACTTGAATCCGCCTTAATTAGGTCCAATAGTGTGTATAAAGCCTTATCTATAAGCAGTTCAGTTAAATTCGGTATTAGTTTAGAGCTCATCTTAGCGGAACTGGAATCTGGACCTTAATGGAATAAGTTTCTATCTTTGGACCAACTGCTCAGAAATAAGAGTAGTCGACCCACTTTTCTGAGTTGTCAACCATATCTGACATTCGGCTGATTCCAAACTAGACAAAAGCTGTACTATAGTAACATTAACTATTGATAAACATTTATTTTTAAATACATTTATATTGTAGATCAACTACACCTACAGACACAGAACAAATGATCGTGCTTATACAATATTTGTCCTGGGTAGCAAACGAACCCACGACCTCCGTCTTAGTAGTTTAGATCACTAATCACTAATAAATACATACAAATAATAAATTAGGGATGTTCATATTTTTCTTATAAACCTAGTACCGTTAGGGGATGTCAGTTAAATATATTGATGTTTATGTTGAATTGCTTTACTACACAATTGTGAACAATCATCATCATCAGCCTGTCGCAGTCCACTGCTGGACATAGGCCTCTCCACTACTTAGATCGATTTTGGGCTTCTCGCATTTAGCTCCTGCTAGCCATCTTGCGCATATCGTCACTCCACCTAGCCCGTAGGCATCCTATACTACATTAAATTCTAAAAATTAAAGATACATAATTTTGTGGTCACGTTATACCTGGTCCCAAATTGGACCAAATTGTGAACGTAATTCACAAATACATATTTTCGGTCTAAATTTATCACTAATTTTATATGTCAATGTCATTTTACAAATTCATGCATGTACTATGTATAAGGTAACGTATATAAGCAAGATCACATAATTATGTGACGCAAGCCACTCAACGCTACTTCACATCAGCGTGTACATGTGTAACTGGCCTTAACTGAAGCATATAAAAACGAGGAAGCTTAACATTTGACGAGCAAATTTTTTAACTTCCAGAGAGGCAGTTTTACGCTTAACTTTTTTGGTCGTCCGAATTCGAGGTTTCTTTTTATTGGTAAAGCATTAAGGTTTTTACCATTTGAATTTTAAAAAAGAAATTCGAAAAGTAAATTTTTTTGTCTTTTTTGAGGTGACAAATTTGTGTTTTACTGTAACTTGTATTGAAATAAAACGAAATGTGTGACAATCGGCAGAATACTGAATCAGTACAAACGAATGCTGCACAGTACGACTACCAATAAAGCTATAATATACTCACATACTCTGTGTATTTTGAAAGAGCCTGTATAATTTTGATAAAAATGGCAATTCATAAAAAAAATTAAACCAACATAAAGAAAAGTAAGAAGTTCCTAAACCCTCAAACATGACAATTGTACACACTTCTATAAAGTTTGACACATACTCGTACAAGACTTTATGAAAGTAAGAAAAGCTGTGACAAAATAAAAGTCTATAGTTTTTGAAAAACAACTCGCAGACCGTATATTTTTCTAATGATCTTTAATTTTTTATAAAGACACATATTTTTGTATCCACCAAATTCACGAGAACTTCATCGTGTTTAAAAGGCAACTCAGGTTTAGTGTTCTAAACTTCTGTAATAAAATTGAATACGTTTTTGAAGTGAAAACTTTCTTAGGCGCGTTGGGAATTTTTGCACAACAAACCAAAGAATGTATTTTGTGGTTTAACAAAAAACTCATTTTTTGAAATGGGAAAAAAACTATTGAACTCGCGACACTGTTACCGTTACCTATACCTCATTTTTTGAGATGGGGAACCGTTACCGTTACCGTCATCGACCAATCTATATAAAGGTATATAAGTTTTCACTTGTGTAGATAAATCAAAGTAAAATAAAGTTAATTAAAAATTATAGGTGTTCCCATGTTACCGTTGTGCTCCCAAAAGGGCAGGCCTGGCGTGACGCCAGGCCTGCGTTTATGAAGGACTGAGTCGCCTGCAGTTGACGAGAGTTCTAAACCTCTCCCGGTCCCGCTCCGTCATCCCTTCGCAAGCATAACTTGCTCGCAGAAGGAGATGGTGGAATTCCACGCACTCTCACTCCGCACCATTAGCGAGAGAACTCCCACCCCAATGGCCGCCACAAGGACACGTCTCTGCTCCACCCACGCCGGGCCTTCTGCCAGCGTGGGTGTGCCTTGCGGATCAGACACCGAAGCAACTTTTTTAGTGATTACCTTTATTTTTAGTGGTATGAGAGGGTCCGTGATGCCTCTCGAGCCAATCCTGCATAACGGGTCTTACCGCCGCGGTAATGGCGTGCCGAGATTTTAAACTGCAATAATATGAAACGTACTCACGAGGTAAACGACTACGTAAATTAAACTATATTTTTAAGCTTTTGAGTGTATAAAACACCTACTGATTGATTTCCAAGTAACACTTTTTGTCACAAATAAACATCTCATGTTATACATCGTAGTAATACATTCATTTTCATTTGATGTAACTTGACAGCAGGAAATGATATTTTCAAATGGTACTGACGTTAAATTTATTGTGATTTTAATGTTCAGTGAGTACATGCTATAAAAATTGTAGTCATATTTCAAAACCGTATAACAGACTACTTAAATTGAAACGCCGCTTACTACTGCGCTGAGTGTTGTAGGTTCGATCCCACATGAGATAACACTTTGTGTGATCAACAAATTATTGTTCTGAGTCTGGGTGTTCTTTGTGTTCGTTACATGTATCTTGTTTTTGTTGTTACTTTGTAAAGTTTATTTTGTAAAGATATATTCCTAATGCGGGAGTAGTCTTTTATTTATTTATTATTAAAAATAATAGAGTTTCACGAAAATCCATGATCTAGAATGAAAATAAAATCCTATTTGAAACCTGACTTTTTATTGTTTAAGGGTACCAACAAGAAGACGTGCCACCTGATGACGTGGCGTGGTGAGTGATAACTGCTGTCATGATGTAGTCAGGATCGCTAAACAACTATGCCAACCCGTTAATTTGTTGGTTAATTATATTTGTCGTATTTAGTCATTTTTATCCCACCTTATGTGTATATTAAAAAATACTTGTGCAATACAGTAATGAATAAATGGAGTAATAAGATATTTTTTTATGTGATAGAGGGCAAACGAGGAGACGGTTCAATAGATGGTAAGGTTTCTCTTGAATACATTAACAGCCTTCAATAGTCCACTGCTGGACATAGACCTCTCCTTAGAAAAGAGGTTTAAATACATACAAAATACATCCATACATTTTCTTGAATATATTTTTGTTAAAATTCTTTGTCGACCTTCTCATATGCTTAAAAATAGTAAGACCTGACAAAACAATTCAATAATATAATTGATAGTGGAGGTCACCCAGAATAAGCTTTTTGACCTGATTTAGACGATATCGACCTTCTTAAAATTATTTTCATCAAGAGTACTCTAGAGCTAGAGTATATCTGTGGTACTAATATTATTGATTCTCTAAAAATACATTTAAATTTTTTTAAAATTGAAAACGAAGTTTTAAAGTTTTAAATAATTTCAAATATTAGATTTAATAAACATAATTATACATTTTTTTTGATCTGATTACCTTGAGCATTCAGTTCCGTCGCCGCTTTTGCCAAATCTCTTGTCGCGACAGCAGATGAACAGCTCGGTCTCCATCCAAGCGGAGGTGCCTGGGCACTTGAAGATCTTTTATTAGATCCTCCTGAACAATATCCAGAACTTGCCGTATCACAGCTCACATTAACTGACTTTCTCGGACTCGCTTCCTTACTTGGACATATGTCTCCAATCGACATAACGACCTCACCACCAAATTCAGTCTCCTCTGGCCCAACTTCTGTAAATGTGCTATAGTTTGGGCTGATATCGGAGGGCCTTCTATCAGGGTGTAAATAGTGGGAATGGTGTGCCGTATGGGACGTATGCTTCATATGGACAGAATTCAAGAGAATATTTGATGAAGTCCTCGTCAGAGCTTCTCGTTGCCGGATGGCTTCTCTAAATATTCGACAATACATAGAAATCATAACCACACTTGGTATCCAAAATGAAACACTAGACGAGACGATAGCGTAAACCATATTTACTTTAAAAATACAAACATCGGGGTGTTTTAAACGGAAATTTCTATGGTGTTCTGTTGTGTACCATCCCATGAAGATTGGCACAAAACTGATAAAAGCTGGCCAAAGCCAAACATTTGCTAGCATAAAACAAACAGTTCTATGAGTCATAGTAATTGGATATTCCAGAGGTCTTACTATAGCATAATACCTATCAACTGATATGCAACAAAGATGAAGTATTGACGCACTTGAAAAGTATACGTCAAGAGAATTAAAGATATCACAGACTATAGGGCCGAACTGCCAAGCATCAGTCAATTCAGCGCTTGCGTTGAACGTCATGGCACATAACGCAACAAGCATGTCGGCTACAGCAAGGCTGACAACGTAATAGTTAGTCAGGACGCGAAGTTTTCTGTGTCTATGCACTGAAATGATGACGAGGGCGTTTCCAAAGAGAGCTCCGAGGATGATGATCGTGAAGACGAGGCCTTTAAATATGAGGGTAACAGTGTGTTGCCAGTCGTGATCGGGCGCGGCAGCGGGCGCCAGCGTCGAGTGTAGCTCGTGCAGGAACGCTGACTCCGTACCGCGCCCGCGCGTTTCTACCTCGTTCCTGAAGACACCATCTGTCGACAGAAAAAATAACTTTGTAAGTTACAAAGGGTAAAATCAATAGATAAAGTCAAGTTGGATTCTGTTGAAAAATAACTCTACTGTTTATCAAAATATGCTAATTTAGTTGTTTTATTTTCTGGACACGCACCTATTAGTTACTTGAGATAATTAGTAGTGCTAATTAAATGATTAGAATTTACAACCTTTTGAATGGATGTCTGTTGCCTAAACTATTGTTCTGGTTCCATTTGTTTTGTCGTTCTTGTTTTATAAATCATTATTTTAGTTCTACATTGACCTAGTTTAAGCAATTCTTCACTTTAAATAACGTGAAACTCGTTAAATGACATTTATTTCTGTAAGTAAATCTTTTCAGATATTTTTACAAGTCGGACTTTACAGCTAGAAGTAGTAGGCATTTCCTAAGATTTATTCTGGGAAGAAACGAAGAAACAAACACAAAGGGGTCTTTTTTTTAGTCCGTAAACAAAGTTAAATAAAAATGTGCGAGTACAGTATAGGGTCTGGGTAGGCCTTTTAAAGAAAGGGCCATAGTTTTGAGTCGGCCTGTCCATACAGACGGCATACAGGCCCCGCTTAATAAATATTGGTTAAGATCAACGACCCGAATTACGACACTACCGCCAGTAGGACATTTGCCGTAGGCCGTGGAATCACTCAAAACCACCAGAAAGTTACAAAAAATATGAATTTACATTACAAGTCAACACTATACTCACATTTAAAATAAACAAAACAAATAATATACAAAAAATATTAAATAGCAATCACTCTCAAACATAACAACAATGATAGGAACGTAAATGTGGGAGTAAGCAGAATAAATCCCAACCGAATTTATCATCTAAACAATCTGTAATCTTGTAGTAAACCTTTTCACATAGTTTTAGTTTTATTAAAGACTTAGTTAATACTTAATTCATGAAATTTGATTGTACAAGCGCACACCCTGACATCGAAAAGACTTGCTTGCTTACTTTTAGTTGTCGGTAACACGAGTTTATTTTTATTTCTGGAGTTTATTTTATGAATGTCGATAAACTTTGTAAATAAATAAATATTTTTCTTTACATACACTAAATTTTCATATACGAGTATGTATGAAGATGGACTATCATAACACCAATTTCTTTAAACTTATTCCTCAGTGACTGTCTGTAACTGAGATTATAAATTGAGTAAATAGGCCTCTTTTGCAACACAATGATACTTTGAATGTCAGCAGCATTTCCCTACAACAAAATACCATATGACATTACACTATGAAAATAGCTAAAATACACGTTACGCTACGTGTATTTCATAACTAGTTCAAAATGTTTTAATTCTATATTTTATACTACCAAATCATTTCTATAATGGCAACAAACTATCAATATTGTCTTTTTATAATTCTCCTAACGCTTGATAACAACAAACCAACTTCATTCATACAAACAAAAGCATACAACTTTCTCCTGTTTCTAACAAGGATTTAAACTGTATTATGCAAATGTTTAAAGCTTTTATCTATAAATACGTAGTCACAATTTGATAGAAAGTGCATTTCCTGTAGTCTTTTAACTTATTTAAATGAATTCCAATCCGTGTGAGTTCAGGTTTGCCGTATCTTTTGGAATGTGTTTATCTTGTACTTGGTCAATTTATGCATAGGCGCTACACGCGTCTTGAATGTTTCGAGAGGTATTGGCATTTGGTATGCAAAGGTTTTTGGTAAATGTATACGACTTGCTGTATGTTTAACTGAGGTGTATAATAACGAAGTTAAATTGTATAAACCAACCAACTCAACAAGAAAGTAATACGATTAAATCTTAAATGTTTAAGATCAAAAATCTTCCTTTAGGTTTTTTTTTAAGAATGTTCAGGTTAGTCCATACGTATATTATAAAAAGTGAGTAGGTTTGTTACGCTTTTACTATAAACCACTAAACCGATTTAAAAAATTCTTTCACAAATGGAAAGCTACATTATCTACGAGTGACATAGGCTTATTTTACCGCGATAACCGACAACCGACAACTGGCAAAAGCTATTAAAAAATATATTAACTCTACCTGTTATCATGATTGAGATTGAAACAAATAATATATAATCAACTTAAATGTAAACTCCTAAAAAGGCCGTACACAAACTAAAATTATATCATCCAAGTAAACAATAATATTCATTAAAAATGTTCATAAAATGAAAACTACTGGGCCTAACTATGTTAAATTTTTATGGGACCAAATGGCAACTATTCCGCATCAAACTAAAGAAGAATCACGTAAATCGGATCATAAATCTCAGAGTAATCGGTGTACATACATAAAAAAAAAATACCAAAAAAAATAGGAACGCCTTTATGCCTAAACGGTCAAAGTACTAGCAGGTTATCTAAATTTTTAACTTACATACTTATTTTAACAAATCCTCTCACTAGCAAGAAAAAAATAAGAAATCTATCCCTAATAGTAATCAAAAAGGAAATCCCACCTTCCACCCTCGGGTCGTTTCATGAATATTTTTATCAAGTACACTCGAGAGCAGTGAATCTGGGTCAGATCGTGAATGACCTTCAAGAGGTGAACATTAAAGAAATCAGTAGCGGCCAGCACCTAGCACTTTAATTCTGTCCTTCAAGCTTAGAACAAGCTCGGACAATGTGTGATATAACGAAACACCGGACCAATTTTATTACGAGTTTTTTGTCTGATAGAGAAATATCATACAAGAAAATTGGTACAACAAAATACCCAACCGGGTGTTAGGTAAAGTTCTAAAACTTAAGAAAATTGTAAATTTGTAGAAAAACATGTTTTTTTTTATCTTGTTTTAAGACAAAATTGTTTTTTTCTATGTTTTAACACAAAGTGACAAATTAATACATTTCATTATTTTCATTTAGGGAATATTCAATTGTCTGTTAAACAAAATTTATATCACGAACAAATAAATGATTGTCTTATCTTATCTTACCCTTTTTTTTACGTGTGGAAACCCCCTCGGGCCGTCACCCCACCGGGGTTTGCGGCGGGGATGTATGTCTTAATCGGACCGACTAAAACCTCACGGTGTGCCACTCTGCGCCTGTAATAGTAGGGATCCGGGAACTGCTGTTATTAAGGATCCGGATCCCTCCTAACGCCTGCCCGCAAAGGCGCAGGCACCACGTTCGGGTACGTTCTCAATTCCCTCCTAGCGACCGAGTGCAGGTACTTCCCGAAGCAGCCGTGCCCAGAAAAGAACCTGCGTCAGTCGGAAGGAAAGGGTCCCATGCTGCCGACGTGCCCACTCGATGATAAACAGCACGTGGAGCCTCCAACCGGAACGACCAACGAACTATTGTGGCTCGGCGAGCGGCATCACGACACTCGCCGTCTCGTTGCGACTATCTTTTCTTACCTTAAGCCAAGGTATGTAGGTATTTCCGGATGTCTTAACAACAGCTGTTCCCGGATCCCTCCTGTTACAGGCGCAGAGTGGCACACCGTGTGGTTTTAGTCGGTCCGAGTCCGACACACCACCCCGCCGCAAACCCCGGAGGGGTGACGGTCCGAGGGGATTTCCACACGTTAAAAAAAAAAAAAAAAAAAAAAGGTATGTAGGTATTTGCAAAATATATTTACACATTTTTAGGTATATTTATGTGACCCGAGTTTATTACTATCTAGTGTAGTGTTTATCTTTAGTACCATAAAGCAAGTTTATTGTATCCTTAGAAAATAGTTTAGTAAAAATACGAATTTGCTTAAGATGTCCCTTGAAAATAAAACTATCATCTATCGTAGATTTGAAAGACTTTGATATTATGATACTCCTTTACGGATTTCACTCGCATGAAAGGAACTTTGTGAATTCGTAATATTTTTGAAGTAAATATGATCCCAATTATGTAATAGAAAACTAGATTATGGTCGCTAAATAGGCACTTCATAAATAAAAGATTGGAAAATTTGGAGTACATTGAAAAGGAACGGTAAGAATGAAATAAAATGAAAGATGTGCCTTATACCTATAAATAATAGTTGAATACATATGAGTCAAGGTGTCTGTTGCCGGGAAGGCTACTATCATTTTATTCATTGACATGGCTGATGTTTAAACAAAATCTGCCTTAAAGGATTTTAACATAAGACAATATACGAGTTGTTATTGGTTGCGAATAATTTTTAGGTAGAAATAAACTTTAACAATAGTAAAGTCGAACTGGAGGAAGACCTCGATAACTTATTCCATAGGTAAGTAGTGCGAGGTAATGCCGTTTGCTTACATATGTGTAAAGCCTGTATTACATAGGTATCATTCCTACTAAAAGTATATACAAATAAATAAAATTTAAGTGTCTGTTTGTAATGTCAAAATAATAGGTTTTTGTACACGCTCACATAGTTATTTGCACGTTACATATGCCTAAAAACCAGTTTATATGCTTTTTTTCCTGTCTGTCTGTTGGTTCAGGGTAATCTTTAGAACGCCTGGATTGATTTTGATAATATTTTGCTACCAGGTATCCGTCTATATAAGGCGTAACTTGGGCTTAGAAAAACCTTATAAAAATTGGTCCGGTCTTGGAATTGAACCCGAGGCCTCACGGACTGCAGTCGCGTACCGCACTACACCACTAAGGCAGCGCTTTTCAAATTCCACGCGAACGAAGTCACGGGTACCAGCTAGTGAAAAATAAAACTATTCAAATTGATCACTGATTGTATTGAATAATAAACGCTCAGTTAATCATACAAACGTCGTTTTAAGTTAGACAATTTCTACTAAGATTTTGAAGTGTTTTAATAAGTTGAGAGCTAAAACACCATATTAAGTTATTAAGAACTGTCTCACTACTTTCAGCATACCATAAGTTAATATCGCACTTAAATTTTACAGATTTTGAACTTTGTTAAGTATGAGCAAAGTTGATAATTGCTTATCTATTACAAAAATCTAAATTTATGAAGCTCAAAATGATTTAAATCATATTACATGTTGACACTCCGATATTTTATTGGTATCAAAAATACAATTCTATTACTGCTTACAAATGTTTGTACAGACTCGAATTCATAATAATTACTTTTCAAGTGACACAACGTTATAATAACCGTAAAATAAACTAACGCTAAACTATTATAAGCTTTTAATATTTTAGCTTTCGCAAAGTAGTAGCAAGTAGTAAAGTTTATAAGGGCATTTATTTTATAACTTTTATATTCATAGTTAAATTGAATAACGAACGGTAAATTACTAAATGATAGTCAATACGAAGGCCAAGCCATGGCATTGACAATAATTCACACGCTAGTTGCGTAGTAAAACTTTGAAGGCGAATTGTTGAATATTTTATACTTTGTACTTTTATAGCGCGCTTTCCCTGGAAAGCGCGCTATGATGGTAAAAATAAGGAATGTGGCAATAAAATATTTTATATCATTATTGTAATAGAGTTCATTTATTTCCATCATTTACATAGGAGAGAAGAAGAGGAAAAGTTTCCTCTGTAACCAATTTTGATTAACTAATAAGAATCAGGTATTGATTTTAACGACGTAAGATTAAGGTAGATAAGACATTGGGCAATGAAAAAGAAAAAAACAGATTTATCTAACCAGATTTCTTGATAAGTAGAGTCTGCTGCTAGTTCCATTATTATCACAGTTACTCCAACACAGTTTCAAACTTAAATATTGAAACCTAAGACCAAGATTAAAAATAAGAACTTTATAGGAACAGACGATTTTGGAATTTAGTTCATTGGACTAAGAGTTTTTATTTATTTGTCATCAAATAATGAAGCCTGCGTATGGTGGTCATGGAGTATTAGAGGCTGTTGATAATAATGATGATGGAAATCTAGTGCAAATAATATATCAATGAACATATATAAAGTTACATTATGAAATACATTAAAAATCGATGTGTCTTCTAAACTCGATCGTAAAGAAGCGATAGGATATAATAATCATTCTACAACCATGCCTCAGCACAAATGGGCCTGTCTCGAATATGGTGATACCGCAGCCTCACAGAAAATCGGTGTTGAACAGTTTTTTCGTTGTTTTTCATCGCGTGAGTGAGTTAACCAGGGCCCAAACAGTCCCACAGTGCGGCCGATTCCGAAAAAGCTGGCCAAAAGTCGAAAAAAAAAGTTTCTAGATAGAGTATTTTTGTCTTTGGGTTGGCTACAGTAATCCCTTGAGAAGTGAAAATCGTTCATAGCAACGTCCTATACCCTAAGTATCCTCTGTATTTTCAGTCGCAACGTAGCCTTCGTTTGAGCATCGTATTACTGTCGATGAATAGTGAAAGTTGTACACATGTGAAAGATTTTGTAATGAAGTAAATTGAACAAAACCAAATGGAATCATCTTCGGAAGGTTAGTAAAATACGAGAAATCTTTAGTACATATCAATACCTCGACACAAAATTTTTAGCTGCAGCAATACGAAGATACATTTTTTGCATATATTTTTTTAAATTTGAGTTTTCAAACTGTATAGTAATACAACGCCGTTATATGCTGCTTTGAAACCTATTAGAGGTTACTCAAAAAAGTAATAGTTACTGAATAAAACAAGATTTAGCTGCTACCACTTGCTACCTTGGCTTTTATGCTATTTTTTGTGCACAAAAAATCAGTTGACTTGACAAAAAAAAAACAACAGACGAGGTGGAAGATCAAACACAAAATCTCGATGCGTTTGAAACTACTGTTGATGGGACAATCGTGCGTGTCAAGTATGATTTATCCTTAACAATGATAGATACCAAAGTGTGTAACTCATTGACAGATACAACTTCTGCTATGCGTTGTTATCTATGTAAGCGCACATCAAAAGATTTCAACGACATTGATGCAATGCTTCAAACAGACATTATTACGGAACACTTGAAATTTGGCATTTCATCGCTTCATTGTTGGATTAGATGTTTCGAGTTTCTGCTACATTTGTCGTACAAATTGAAAATCGAGAAATGGCAGGCTCGTAAGCCAGAAGAAAAACAGTCTGTTGAAAACCGAAAAAAAAAAATACAAACTGCGTTTAAAAAACAGATGGGGTTAAACGTTGACAAGCCTAAATTTGGA